AGTGATCCCTCCAAACCCCCTCCCTCCACCCATTCCTCCCTCCCTTCTCCCTCCCCCCTCCCCGTATTCTTAGGCTATTTGGGGTGAGTATAGACCTTTAAAAGTTAGATAGATGAGGAAGAGCCTGAGAAGGAAGAGCCAGAAAGGTAGAAGAAAAACCAGGAGAATGATATTCCAGCAAAGAAAGGAGCTCAATCCAAGCTCAAAAGAAGACTCCAAACCCTCCAGTTTTGGGGGAGGAAAAGGTAGGACACAAGCAGCCAAGATTAAAGACAAAACTGGTCATATTAGGAAGAGGAAGCAAGATTATGAGAAAGGCTGTATCAAAGCAAATCTGCCACCTTTTCCTTTGTGCACATTCTCTTAAGGGTCTTTTTTATATGTCTTCTGGCAATTAGAATTAAAAGATACTAAGGGTATGATGGCTGTGGGGAAAAGGCATAGGGAACTATTAGCATGCTTTCAAGTGAAGGGTTTAGGCCAGAAATAAAAAGTCTTTGTTGCTCCCTTGACAGAGCACCAGACTATGGATTCCACGTAGGGGTATGGGTGTATAACTTCTTTGTAAACCTACTTACTACAATCTGTCTTGATTTTTCTTTGTATCCCTGGATAATTATGACCACCTTGCCCATCTCTTTCCACCAACCATGCTATACAACTGAGGACGATATTAATGTGGACAGAAATAAAAAAGTGAAACTGAGATGCCCATCTCTGCTAAGTGCTTCCCACGGAATGGTTTCCAGGAAGGACAAGGCTAAATAAAACATTATGTTATTACTGTTTGGCTCTTTAAGCCAATTTCTGTTGTTGTGTAACAAACTACCCACAAAACTTAATGGCTAAACAAGAGTATCCAACCTTTTGACTTATCTGGAGTACATTGGAAGAAGAATTGCCTTGGGCCACACATTAAATACACAAACACAAATGAAAGCTGGTGAGCAGAAAAAGGTCTGTGTATAATTTTCATGATATTACCAACACAGATAAGCAAAAAAATCCTCAAATAATAATCCTAACTATGCAGTGGCCCATTCAGAGAGTCTTTTAAAATCATTGAGCAGGTCCCACATTTGTGATCACTAATATAGAACACAATACAGGAAATATACATATCTAAGTAAAAAAAATCTTTGCCTTTTTTTTGAGACAGAGTCTCATTATATCACCCTCATTAGAGTGCTGTGGCGTCACAGCTCACAGAAATCTCAAACTGTTGGGCTTCAGTGATTCTCTTGCCTCAGCGTCCCAAGTAGCTGGGACTACAGGCGCCCACCACAATGCCTGGCTATTTTTCTGTTGCAGTTGTCATTGTAGCTTAGCTGGACCAGGCTGGATTCGAACCCGCTGGGCTATTTTTCTGTTACAGTTATCATTGTTGCTTAGCTGATCCAGGATGGGTTCAAACTCACCAGCTTCAGAGTATGTGGCTGGTGCCATAACCACTGTGCAACAGTGCCGAGCCAGGGTTTTTTTTAAAGACTTTTTTCTCTGTATATAAGATTTAATTCTTGGTAACCTATTTCACTCTACCAAATTTGGATACTTAAGGAAATTATGTAATGTAATTTCACTGAAATTCTTTTGGGATTAGGATAAATTCACTTCTGTCTTTACTGATTTGAATACAGTCTCTTCTCTAGGAAGGAGATGGACTGGGTGAGTTGGAGAGCTCCTTCCTGATTTTTAAGATCAGTTTATCTGTTTCTGAGAGACCAGAAGGTGATTATTATAATCTCTATTTTATTTAATAAATTTATTAAAGAATTATTTAATAATTTTATTATTTACTTAGTAGTAGTAAATAAACCCTTTGAAGAAGATATTTCAAAACTACAGATACCCTCTTCTCAAGCTTTCTTCCTTTTCTTCCATTTATTTTAGGACCCATCTACGGATCTTGCCTACAGCAGTTAGTACTGTAGTATTTGCCTAATGATGATTTTGTACTTTCCTCATTCCTTCTACATTTATAAATTGAATTCTTCTGTAAGGAAAGAAGCTGTTCCTTCTTTTCCACTCCTTATTCATTTATGCCAGTAAGGATTCTTGGCTATTTCTTTTATTCTATGTTATAATCTTTTTTTTTTTTTTT